TAACCAATACTTTGTGGTTTTAGGTATCTGCATGCCTTTGAGGATTTTTACCGCAAACTTGGAAGCAGTATGGGTACCATCAGTAGGCCAAGCAGAAGCAGGAATAGTTCAGGAAGAGGTGGATTTCTGTCATTTNCACGTGTCACATAATTTCTAGTGATGGCTTGTAGCACTTGACACTGAAAGTAAAATAATTTAAAGATATAAAAACCATCATATGTTTCATGTGTTATTAGATCTTGAAGTTAATACGTTTGTGATTAAACCAGTTGCTACAACAGCATGTTACAAGGTAGTGTTATTTATAAGGAACACATCTCCTGATATTTAAAACATAAATTCCATAACTTTTCATTTCTCTGTTTCATATATGTAACCGGTACATTGATGTTGGTACATATTGCCATTGCCTGTCTGTAAGAAACCATTCCCAAAGATATTTAGATCAATCTATCCCTCTGGGGAGTCTTACTAGATTGTTGTCAGCTTAAACAGCTTAAATGTCTGTTCCTCCTACTAAAAGCTGTAAGGTGTATGGTGTGACTACAGAAGCAGTATCTCAGTGTATCTGAGATAGGTTGTCTGTACATTTGTCAGCTGTACATATACCATCTGCAAATTTGGTTTAATACCCATATGTTCTCATCTTACCTGGCCACTGCAAGTTTAGTCTTTCCTCAGCTAGACTTTGGAGTTTCCTTGTAAGTGCCTGGTCCATCTCAGCAACAGAGTCAATCTGTAATATGCCAAATAAATTGTTACATACAAACATATAAAATATTTATAAACATATTGCTGTTTGTTATAATGTCTTATAAAAGATCTTCAAAATATAAACAGTTTCATTGAAAAAGTTCATGAAATCTCAATTTATAATCTGGAATAAATAAAACAGAAAATAACAATCAATTTTGTTCTTTGCCTTTGCCCAGCACTTCAATATAAAAAAAATGTTAACTAAAAGTTTGCTAATTTTTCGGCCACTGAAATGACTGTGTAACTACCATATTCAGCCAAATGGACACATACGTGTACGACGTTGTTTACAGGCAGTATTATCACGTGGACTGATGACCAAATGTATAGAATAAATCAAAATAATTTTATCTTGTTTGTATAGATATACCCTCTTATTACATATTACCCCTAGGATCCCCATACACTTCTTTACAAATTCTTCATTCTCACTATTCCTCATGACTGCTACCAGCGAATCCTTCACAGTATCTACAGCTTTGAGCTGCTTCTAAAAGAAAGTACATCTGTTTTAAAATTACGGATTTGCTGCTCAAGCCTGAAACTGTTCACATTCCTGAAATAATATTCATCATTTTTTTATGTATCACCTTATGTGAGGCTTCAACTGAAATATTTTTACAGACTTTTTGCAATGTGTTTGTTACAATAATCTGCTTTGAATTCTACACATATGCTAAAATATTTCTATTGCAGATATACTGTAGTTATAACCTCAGCATTATTAAACACCAAAGTAAACACAAGTGATGGTTATTGATAATTGTGATGACATTCTAAATGTGATCTTATGGTGGTGATTCATGTATGACTGAAACCCTGGCCTTGACCAAATTACTAAGGTGATATGGGCTCTTTCTATAATATCTAACTGTCCAATGCCAAGAATAAAATACATTTCCAGAAAAAATGCCATGGTGTCAATACAACTGAACTCACATTTATTACAGGTTTATTAGACTGTCCTGACATTATGTTGGAAATCTGAAGTCCCTCAGGCTTGTGTCTCCTGTCTGATGTACTAACTTCATTCTAAAGAAATAAAAAAATAAGCAAAGTTAAATAAAAATTAACAACAATAATAAAATACATGATATTTACCAGTAAACTATTTTCACATTGCACTATACCACTACTCCCCCCCCCCCCACTGTTAAAAGGGATAACAATTAAATCTTTAAATGATATTTAAAATTCCACAATACACACATTGTAAAAAATACACAGAAATATAATAAATTCCATTTTACAACCAAAATGGAGGTTATTGCAATTATTTTGAAATCTGTGCTTGCCATTGGACCACATGGATCTTCATACATAGCTACCCCATCGTAAATCTCTTAAGAAATTATTTTTAAAAACACACTTTTTCATAAACCATTAGAATAGGGAGGTCAGATCACTTTTGTAACTCACATTGATTTCGGTCAAATCGGTGTTTTCTGATAGATCAATTCAAGAGCTTTCCAAAACTTTTTATTTTTTGAAAATCGAGCAAGCCAATCAAAAGTTATTAAATTTATAAGAATGCAAGTTGGCCACAAAATTTTGAAAAAGTCTTGCATGCAAGCCCATGTAACAGTGGAAGCCAATTTTAAGTGTCACCCAATTGCCAAATCAATTAAACAAAATTGGCATAACTTTTGAACGGAGTAAAATATCGATTTGAAATTTTGAAAACAGTCACACTATGCCAAGAGGAATCTGCCAATATATAATTTTGTGGAATTTATTCATGATTTCCATGGCAACCGTTGCTAAATGTCGATAAACATCAACACTTTTTTTCGATTTTTCAACTGTGATGCTTCAAAACCACTGTCCAAAGGCTACTTTTGGATAAAAAAGATGCTAAATAAAATGTGTCATCACTGGAAACAATAATTATGGCCTCTTATGTATCTGTTGCTATGGAAACCGTCATTATGATAGCTGTTGCTATGGTAACAGTTTGAACTACATTTTACACATTATCATGAATTTTTCAACTGAATAAGAAATGGAAGAATCTTTTGGTCATATGAAATAAAGATGAATAATAGAAAAATACATTGGCACTGTTGCCTTGGCAACCAATGCTACAACAGCAATAGCATACAGGATGGCGTGCATTAATTTTCAACTGAATATAAATGGAAGACACTCTTTTAGTGCTCAATATATGAAAATAAGTTTTCATTCTCATTATCAAGCCTTTCAATTTCACTTACACTTGCTTCATACTTTCTTTTCAAACTTGTATTTTGTTTTTTGACTGTGTGAAGCTCTTTTCTTAATTTTTTCTTCCTGGGAGTATACTTTATTTCTTCAGTTATGTACTGTTCTCTAGTTCTTGGATGAAAAAAGTCCTTATCCAAGTAAGTCTCTCTTTTTTTACCTCTCAGTAACAATGCAGAATCATGGACCAATTTCAGTTTCCTGTAAATGGCTAAATCGGGGCCGTAGCAATGGGGGCGTCTCGATAGTCCGAAGGTTCATTGGTCCGAAGATTCATTGGTCCGAATTTTCACTATAGAACTTTCGGACCAATGAACCTTTGATCAAAAAATCGATGAAAATGTTACCACTTTTCGGACCAATGAACCTTCGGACTATCGAGACGCCCCCGGCTAAATCATGTACCTCTTCACTGTTATCAGGTATAAAATTAACCCTATATTCGTTAATTGCAGTCGTTCTATTAATATCCTTGTGTTTTGTGAACAATTCATAGATTTTCCGGTTGGATACTCTGGTATCTCGAGCCTCTTTGGGTGCTGAAAGTACATGAGCCCTTTCATCAGCAGAACAGCTTGACGCGTCCTCCATTTTACCTGCGGTAGGATCAAAAGCACAAATTTTCTAAAGGCTGTTCCGGCTACGTCTTAGCAAATAATGACAAATAAACAACTCATTTAAAAAGAGAATTAGTTAAAATATCTAGGTAGGGGTTACAGAACTTTTCAAACTTCGTTATTCTAACTCTAAAATGCGATTAAAAACTTAAAAAGCAAGCTGTGGATGCTTTTTTTCGGTTTTCTAACCTTCTGTAACCCTTCACTCGAAAGGTTGATTCATCCTCTGCACGAATATGTGGTCAAATCCATGAAAATATCACCCGGGACGCCGTACGAAGCTTTTAGAAATATGCCGCGAAACGCGCAGGTTGAACAAGATGCGTAAATGGCGGGAACCAAACGAGGGAGTGAAATCACCGCCGATTTCTCGCGGTATTTTCGTGGCTGGAGGTTTTCAGCGCAGAGATCATACATTGTTACAGATATTGCAAAAAAGACCACTGAATGTACTTTCTAAATATGTTTTTATATTTACCATAGGACCCAAAACTTGGAAGTTATGATGGAAAACACACAGCAAGGTTAGATTTTTTCCCGATTTCCGCCGTGTATGCGGCGTGACCTGACCTCCCTAATTGTCATTTATCTGTGGAAAACCGTTTTATGGCACTTCCCACCTTAATGAAGAGTTGTTATCCCTTTAATGGTAAAAATTACTGTGTATATACAACCCCGTGTATCATCTTTTTAATGTCAACTTGTTTGAGTTTTTTTTTATATAGTGGAAATGGAATATCACTGCCTACTACGTGTACATGTATATGTAACAACTATGTAACATAAAATAATAATATAAAAACTGTTTAAATTAAAAAAAATAGTTGAAATCGCAATAAGCATCTGTTTGGAACTTTTAAAACTACATTTAGAATCTCAGTATGGTTGAAGTGAATAGATTTTTTTTTAATGTAAAAATGGTTTTCAACAAATTGACCCAAACACATTTCAACAAGGTCAAGTTAAAACGAGGGTATATAATAGTAAATAAGCTCATAAATATTCATGAGCTTATCAGTGTCTCCAAGATGATGAACTGCAACCCGGTTATCGCCCTTATAAACATTTTCGTTTCCACTCTGCAATAACTCTGACTTATTAGGGAGCTTTCGTTTAATCTCCTTCATTTTTGTCTTTTGACTCTATTTGAGTTCGGCAGCAGACGTTTAATTTATCTTATGACCAATGTATTTGGCAAATAAAACACATGGCACATATACGTGTGATCAAAGAAATTAAAAATGTACAATTATTTCTATCACCTAACATTCACTTCTTTCTTTACGTCATCCTCTTATTAGTTTTGCTTTTGGTCACTTCCGGCATTTTTTTTTCGTCCACCATTTTCCTTCGAAGAGAATGTTGGGAAAATTTGGTGATCCACGTGACTTTCGTCCAATCAGCTGTGGGGACCCCCAACACAGGTTGTTGTTCATCCTAAAGTCAGAAGGTGTTTACCATACCAGAAAAATTACGATCGAGAACCGTTTTAAATCCATGAGCCAGTTTTTGGCGTGAGGACAGAGTGCAGAGTTCACGAGAGAATCCGACAACCTCTCCGCACTATGGTCAGTACTGTTTTTATGTCATTATTGTAAACGAATGAGTTCTCCGGTGTTCATTCAATGGCGCTCGCCGATGAGTGTTAAACTTACTATGGGTGCCGAGTGAATGGTAACTGTCAACCGTTGTTAAAAATGTTAGTTTTTGCACATACGTAGCACCGATGTCATGGTATTCCTTAGAATACTAAGTGAAAACGCCTTTCTTTAAAATGCTGAAGTCGTTTTTAACGAAGATATTGTGGCTTGTTTACTTCGGGCAGCCACGTAAATAACAAATTCAGGTAACAATGCCCTTCACCTACCTGAACCAGTCTGCCATTTTTGTTATTAAACGATTAATGATTGTAAAGTTTAAAGTCATTTTCTCTATTTAACTTACAGATTAAATAGATATCCAGGATGTTGAAAGAATACCTTTTATAAATAATGTCAGCTTTACATTGCCATTGGTTTGGCTGGTATTGTCAGCTGTTGAGTTTAAAGAAGGGAAAGGCTGAGCTCAAAAAGTAGATTATCATCTTTATAATCATCCTCTTTGGTTTTCTTAGTTCAATAGCCTGTTACTGATCATTACTGGTTCACAGCCAGGCTCTTCATAAAAATAAAGTTGTGCAGGTGTGAAAGAGCTGGACTTCCCAAGTACTTTAATGTCATTGGAGAGGTTCTGATGTAATTATGCCTGCTCCTCAATGGAAATCATATGAGATAGCCCACAGTCGCTTTACTTACGAGGAAATTTAGTGAGATTTTGCAGAAGGAGATTTGAGTTGGAAATAATGGCAGACAAATGAGTTCAGTGCAAGTATGCATAAAAAAACAATAGAATCTAAGTTTTTTCTGTTTTTTCCTGAAGTTCTGTTGAATTATAGTCTTTTGCACTACACTATGCATTCATCACATTGTGTTTTACTTTTGTATTGATTCCTAAGGTGGCATTCTCAGCAGATAATGTTTCACTCTTATTAACCAAACCTTGCAGATTTGTACACAGTGACAGAAGTCTTGTTGTAGGCTGTGTTAAATGGTTTCCATTGAAATACTGGCTCTGCAGATGCCAATGCAGGACAGTTCTACAGATTCCAGGACTCTTGGCTAATCTATCTCAGTGTAATGTGAGGACTTATTCTGCTCCATACTCGGACAAACTGGCATCCATGTTGTCCACAGCCTTTTTGCCATGAAGTGCTGATATAGGTGTGAAATATATTTCTTTTGTTGTTATATGCTTTTCATAAATCCATTAGTAAAAGTGTTGATTTTATGTCATTTTTAAATAATTTACCAAAATCTTTTCTCGTAGGCTGCCTCGGAACCTCCTTATTTACCTGTAGGAACAGAAGTGAGTGCGAAGTACAGAGGAGCATATTGTGAAGCTAAAATTAACAAGGTGACAAGATGTGTGAAATGCAAAGTAAGTGTAATAGGTTTTAAATCTTGCTGAATTGAAATAATGATTTTGGAATGGTAGTTCATTTTAAGGGTCCAAAAATAAAAGAGTAGTAACGTAAGAAAAGTATCTCAACATTCCATGTCTTTTATCACAGGTCAACTGATGTACGTCACATTTTACTTTTTTATTTTTATTTTACATTTGTTCTGGAGCATATTGCAATGAATAACAGATCTTTGTCTAATGTTACCAAGTCAGTTCCCTCTACACCTGATTTTTCTCCTTTGCCATAAAGAAATGAACTTGTTCAGTCAGTTTGTTATGTGTGGTGTGTGGGCACCAGAGAGAGAAAGAGAGATGTGAAAGGTTATTAGATATATGCTGCCATCTGCTCAATGTGTGCATGTTTTTTATAGATTTCAGTAAAAGATAGCAGTGCTTTGATGTTTGTCTCTGATGATGCTGTAAAAGGACCACTGAAGGTGAAAACATTTTCCTTATTTGTAAGAATGATAGGACATTGTGATATGTAGATTGTTGAATAGACATTTGCATGCTCACTTGTTCAGATACATCTTTGAGGTATATTTACTTGCTCTTCTTTATCACTTATATACAAACTGTTTATGCCAGCATATCTTACACAGTACCAATGCCCAACTGCAGAATGAAAAAAAAATCTGTGAATTCTGCAAGATATATTCAATATCAGAAACATTAAGCATGAACATTTTGCAGATTGTTTCATTTTGACAGTAATAGTTCATTCAGCTTTTTATCATTGATATTCATATATTTTTACAACGTCGTTTGTTAATGTTCTTGACCTAACTTCATTGGTTTGGAGTTAAGGGTAGCTTATAAGTATATTTAGTAATCAGTGTTTGCCGCTTAGGAAAATTAGTTGCTGGACTAAAGGTCCAGCCATCTTAAAAAGTAGCTGGACCGAACGTCTGCTGGATGGGAAAACTTCTCGTCCCTTTCTGAAAGTTGTCGACCCTGGGCAGATGGTCCAGTCTTAATTTCTAACACTGATGGTAATGTTACTAGGTTGGAGCAGCAGTTGAAGTCAAGCAACCAGATAGTGAGCAACATGTTGAAGGGACCATACTTTCCATGAAAGATTCTAGTACATACCATGTTGGTAAGTTGTTTTTATGACATAAAATTAGATGTGAAAACAGTATTAGTAGGAAAGTGATGTTTGTTGCATTGAAAATATTCATGGAGAGATTAGCATAATTGTGTTCCAAATTCATTTAAGTCTATGAAGATATGCACATTTGAGTTACAAGGTCATGTTTTCATTTTTTTAACAGTGAGTTTTTTTTCTCTCATATTAGTGTTTGATGATGGAGACCAAGCTACCCTGAGGAGAACTCAGTTGTGTTTGAAGGGAGAGAAGCACTTTATTGAAAGTGAAGTAAGTTTTGCTTAAGATTTCAAGTTTTAAATTATTACAGTTCTTTTTTTTAAAAAAATAGTTTTATCATTTTTGGTATATGTTAAAAATGCATACAAAGTCAATTTTTTTGCCACAAAAAATGACGAAATGCCAGCATATAGTTTCAAGTAGTATAACTAAGAGAATTACCAAAAGGCATTATTTAATTTTACCCGAAAACGATGTTTGAACGGATTTTTCTGCTAGCATTCTATGCTGTATGTCAATGGGGCAGAAAAGTAGGTCACAAAAGTAGGTTAAATTTCCGACCAAAAATTAAAAGAAAAGGAGCAATCTAAAACTCTTTTATAGCTGATTGAGTGATCTATTCAGTTTATCCCTTGGCATGTCAAATTTATTTGAGTTGTATAAGAAACTAGTAGAAGTGGTTTACATGCGTTACTGGACATCCATGCTCCACCGATGCTCGGTTCGTATGTACCTTTAAATTTTTATGAACGCAAAATATTATTTGAAGTGGTTGTTATTGAAATATTAATGGAGATTGCAATATTTAACTTGTACGTGGGATTGTTCTCCATATGAAAGTGTTTTGTTGTAGACTTTAGACCAGCTTCCCCTTACCCACCCAGAGCATTTTGGCACTCCTGTTATGAATTCCAAGAAAAACAGAAAAGGCAGGTCACAAAAGGGGTGAGTACTTTGCATAAAGGGAAATTTGATCAAATTTTCTAGGTATTACACCAGAACAAAATTCATACTTTATATCTTATTGAATAAAACTATGCAAATGTATATACTTGAACAACATTAGATCAAAGTTGAAACAAGGTGTCTTTACTCTAAAATGTTATCTTAAGTTATCTGCATTATATTCTGCATCACTGTTTATATTCTAGTGATGAAACTGAGAGTGAAAGTGAAGAGGAGAGTCCCAGCAAGCGTCCAGCCACAAAGCCCAAGTCTGATGACTGGGTTGGCAAGGTGGTGTGTATTGAGTCGGGAGACAAGAAGAAGCCATCCTGGTTTCCAGCCTTAGTGGTTAAGCCAGGGGCACACAACACAGAACTCAAAGGAAGAACACAGATTTTGGTCCGATCTTTCAAAGATAATAAATTGTAAGTGTGTTTTTTAGGCAAGAAAATTGATTTGTTTAAAGTTGGGGCCATTTATCAGTACAAAAACTAAATTACATTATATTTTGTTTGCCATGCAGGTGTATCACCTGTATTATTTGTATTTTTACAAAGTTTGAATGTGCCTCTTATATTTGTACTTTGAATATGATAGTTTCATTTCCTGAAGAGAAACAATTTGAAAGAACCGTTTGTAAAGTTAATCTTATATTCCTTTTATTGTTATGGGTTATAGTCTTTAGGTTTTTACCTTCTCTTTTATTGCAATATAATTCATCTTTGTATTGGCTCATTTTGATACAGTTCTGCTGTCACAAAGAAGGATGCAAAGGATTTCACAAGTTCACTGGTCACAAAGAATGAGGACAAGTCCCTGAAGGTTGCCCTGGAAAAAGCCCAGTTATATTTGGACAAAAGAGAGCTGCCCCAGAGCTGGGATAAGGATGCTTTGGTGGGGTCCGACAGTGAGTCTGAAGAGAGTTCTGAAGAGGTAAATGTGGTTTAAATGCAGTCTATGGGCATAAAATCATTATATTGCCAGATAAGAATTATACTTGAAATTATACTTATAATGCTCTATACAGCAATTAATGGTCTTTTGTTCTCGAAGAGCCTTTAACATCATTGCTTTTAATTTAGAAATTCATAGCTGAACAAAGCTGACAACTGTAATAAATGTAAGTGCTTAAATTGTTTAAGCTATTTGTTACATTCTACCAATTTAAGGTGAAATTGAATTTTGGATGTTTTCAGTCTTCTGATGATGAACCTAGTGAAGAAAAGGACAGATTTGTGGCACAGTTATACAAATTTATGGATGATAGAGGTGAGATTTTATATGCTATATGAGTGACATAACTTTGAAAATAACTAAGTTATATCCTTAAGTTTTACTGCTTTTCATTTAGCATGTTGGTAGAAGAGTAATCAGGTAATAAGTTATGCCACTTTTACATTATTAACAGGCACTCCTATCAACAAAGCCCCATGTCTTGGTAGCAAGGACTTGAGCTTGTACAAGCTGTTTAAGGTTGTACAGAATTATGGTGGCTACAACAAGGTGACCAGTCAGTTGAAATGGAGACTGATTTACTCCAAGATGGGCCTTCCTCCAAGTAACAGTGCTTCTTCTCAGATACAGCAAGCATATAAAAGGTATGTTGGAGCATATTAACACGAATTTAACAACAGTCTTGATTTCCCTTTGGTTTACTTAAATGTCAAAATAAGTTTCACAATGAAAACACTATTCATATTTGGTAGATACATGTATGTCACCAAATTAAATTCACAAAAAAAAAAAAAAAAAAAAAAAAAAAAAAAAAAAAAAAAAAAAAAAAAAACAAGAGTAACCCCTTTGTTAACCAATACTTTGTGGTTTTAGGTATCTGCATGCCTTTGAGGATTTTTACCGCAAACTTGGAAGCAGTATGGGTACCATCAGTCGGCCAAGCAGAAGCAGGAATAGTTCAGGAAGAGGTGGATTTCTGTCTTTTAGCGAGAGAGAAAGAGAAACTCCAAGATCACCAAAAAGAGATGACAAAACTGTAATTAGTTTAATGGTCTTTTTGTTCTGAAATTGTTTTATTAATCATCACATTGTTAATGTTGGAATTTAAAATATTAATTTCAGTTTCAGATTAAATATTTGTACTGGAAATATTCTTTTGGTAACTTTGGTATATCTTATGCAAAGAGTCATTTTAT